ATTGTATACAGAGTCAGTTAAAAGCCTCATTAAATAAATGTGATTTAAGTTGTTTTTTAAAAGAATATAGAGATGTACAACATCTTAAACTAAATGGTAGATTATCCCATAAAACAGGTGCTTGATAACTAAAAGAGACTAGTTGAACAGTTTTGGGCTTTAAAAATAGTTTATCTGATGTACGTAATGTTCGACCATTATATCGTGGTTATGTACGCGAAATGTGCGGAAATCGAATTTGACAAACATCAATTAAAGAAATGCATTTTCCATGTGGTGTCGGGCATTTCTTTTAAAAGGGCTACCGAATTTGGTAAGACATGTATAAGGCAATTTAACAAAAAAAACATAAATTTGGTAGACTAAAAGGGCATCTCTTAAGATACGTAAGATATGACTTTTGCAATGTCTTTTATATGGTTTTCGATGTCTCTGAATTTGAAGATAAATTTTGAAAATACAAAATAGCAGCAACACCAATTGGCGGATATTAAATTAATCGTCATTTTTCCTGTTGGATATTAGATAGTGTCTCTTAAGCATGATGTACACTGTAGTTCGATGTACCCTGTAGTTCAGATACAGTCTCCAAACCGTGTTTACACTGTAGTTTGGGTGTAGTTCGTCAAATGAAGATGAATTTTACGATACAAAAAAATGAATATATTGTAAACGCGCTTTAAATATCTGGATGCGATAGACTTCGTGATAACAAATTCAAGGTACATTATATCATTGGCAATAATAAGATCCAATTTTAGTTTTTAGTTACACACTGTTAACCACCAATAGATGTTTTAATGACAATAAATCATAAAATGTATTCAGCTCGACGTAAGACATAAATAGATACAGTTGGTTTAACTTGAATAGAAGTTTTAATTATCTATGCTGCATATATGCATATATTTGTCAACATCAAGGTTAGTGCGACCCATTTGTGACAATTTCTAGTTCCCAAATATTAGCGATTTAGCTCCTTTAAAAGCGAATGCAAGTTAAATATGTTTAATCAGAGGCGGATTCAATGGGGGGCGCGAGGGGCGCCCCCCCCCCTCCTAATTTTCAACAGTGCCCTTTTTTACGGCTGAAAGTGCCTTTTCTCAGACTCAAATATGTCCGTTCCCAACCCGTTGTAGGAATCCCAAATGACTCGAACCATCGACTCAAACACACCAGTCTGGGAAATAGCTCTTGGAATGGCTACAGATGCAAGGAAATGACGGATAATTTTCTTGGGGACCCCCCCCCCCCCCTCAGCGGCAAGCCCCGTCTCCGCGGTCAATGCCTTCATTTTGCAGCGCCCCCCCCCCTTTTCAAAATTCCTAGATCCGCCCCTGGTTTAATAGTACTTTTATCTAGTGTATCTTTTATTTTGATTTTTCTTATAGAATAAGGCTATATAACAATAATGTGCGCTTCTTGTTGTATAATACTAATAATAGTATGTTCAGCTATACTTTTCGTTTAAAAAATGTACGTTTTATGTCCTATATACACTTATTCGCTGAAATCTATGACATCCAACAATATAATAGGTCATATAAATAGATAATAAGTTTGCATGACGTCATATGAAATTCCTGGCTTCACAGTTGTCGCAACTTTATCTATACACGGCGTTGCGTCGACAAACCATGCAATGTGAAGTAGATGTCAATATGGTTATGTGCATAGGCGTACGAGCTGGGGGGGGGGGGGGGCTGGGAACCAAATGCTGGGAAAATTTGGGCACACAATTGTACTTTGTAAAAGTTGTATAAAAAAATATTGTGTTCTTGAATATTTCCAATTTAACAGCGAATTTATTATTATTATGTAACATATTAAGAACCTAACTACATTTTTGGGGCACCAACCACCACCGCCCCCCAGTCAAAAATTTCCCCGTACGCCTATGGTTATGTGTAAGAATATTCAGTTCAATATATTCACGGTGTATGATTTTATTCATACTTCAATTTTAGTGACTGCAACGTTTTTAGAAAAAATACCTATTAATTTGGCCAGTACTGTAATGGCAAGTGTATAAATATTTTCTGTTCAGTCTGTACACAGTAACATATCTGAGAACCATATTATCATTTCTGCCCAAGGCTCCCTGTGATTTATAGTTAGCAGTGATACAAGGCAATCACCAATTTTCCATGCTCTTGGCCTGAAGAAATAAAATAATAAAAGTCAAGTTTTTATTATTATGCAAGTGGAAAAATACAATTCTTCATGGTATGATTTGAATAAATACAACTGATTTGAAGTTGGAATTATTATTTGTCTAAGATGACTGGGCATTTACAAATTGAAATAGCTACTCTTCATCAAGAAAATACATGAATATTTTTCCCAATTCACCTGGATTTTATTGTAGGCCTTTGTACGTGAAATAGCTTTATTTAACGTCCGCTTCCACCGAAGTGATATTGCAGAAAATTAACAAATTCGGATTCCCTTTTAAAGGAATTAGACTATCGCTGGATTGTATTATATTCAAAATGTCGCCCAGAACACAAAACAAACATTGCAATTCAGGGCGGACTGGTGTCGAGGTTGTATCCTAAGAATGATTTTTTGAATATTTAATCAAACAGAAACACAGTTATGCACATGCAGTTATGATATAATATTAAATTAGCTTACCTCAAATACCTCGAAATATACTGTTTGGTCAGTTTGTCCGCCCGCCATATTTCTATTAGTCACACATCCTTCGGCCAATTAAAATGGACGTATATTTTGTTTTAACCGAAACGAAAAATTTGCGTTATAAATACATTGTATTAAAAAATACCAAAATCACAAACCTGATATTCTTATTTTCTGAACAAACTTTTTTCACAACAATATCACTTTTTTCGATACTAATGCTTAATAATACAGTTAACATTTGCAGTACCACAGGGTTTAATACCGCAAAATTACTTCAATAAATATTTCTTTCTTTGTTTTAAGAGTAATTCATTTTAATTGGTCATTTACAGGTAAGAATAAATTTCCAATTTCGATTAATGAACCAATTAAATTAAATAAAAAAATTAACTCGACTATTTCCACGCCCATTCAAACATTTTTTTCAAACGTAGATATAACACAATTGTTATTGTCTTTGATGTGTCAAGTTTATTTGGGGCGATATCAATCAGACACTTCCAAATGCAGACATTGTAATAACCTGTCTCTGTATATTGTCTGAGACAAGATGTGAAAATAAACAAAGAGTAGAATCAGAATAATCTTTTATTATATCTAATTAAATAAATAGTTTATATTTAGATAATAATTGACTAAAACTTTGATCTCTTATATCAGTATACTGTTATAAAATACGTTGTTTTAAAAGAGATATTAAATGCATCGCACGATACATACATTGCGATTTCTACTTAATGTTTGTAATAATTAATATATCCTTTTAGATAATTAGAAATATTAAAAAATAAATCAAGTGAATTACTCGACATTCAAATTCAGGAAGAGTGGTTTTACATATAGGCTAGGCCAGATCCCTAATCCAGTTCCCCAATCCCATTCAGATTTTCTCAATAAATAAAAAACATAATGTGATAAAGGAACATAATAAATGTTATCTTTAATGTCGACGTAATTAATTATATGGAAAAAAAAACCACATAAGATTTTATAAATGTACACAAGTTTGTGTTAAGACATTGAAAAGAACACAAACTTGTGTCATTGCAATGCAATACAACACAAACATGTGTTAAATATTTTTAACACAAGTTCTTGTGTTGAGATCCAACACAAGGGTTTTTTTCAGTGTATAAATAGCTGCATGTTTGGCCTTAATGCTTAATCTATAAAGCCGATCAGTTTTTATTTGCTTTTCTTTTCACCCGTGAATTCATTTCTTCTTCCTTTCTCTATGATGTGAAAAGTTTCATTAAAATAATAGGCCTGATTTACGTCTATTTACCACCCATGCGACCATATTTATGATTATGATTATGAATGAAAAGAAAGACCAAGGCATGCCCACGTAAACTGCAATTTTTACATTTTAGTTTATTTCATTTTCATAAACTGTTGCACAATTCATTCAGGATAACTTGTAATTAATTTTGAAAATTTATGATTATTTTAAAATTTATAACGGCATTAATTTATCGAAGTTTACCTTGAGGTAAATACAACTACGTCAACGGTAGAAACCAGTGTTTTGAGAGTGGTAACATGGCGGAATCGGTACTTCCAAGTGATTTCACACTTCTCAGCTTATGAGCTATCCAGTTATTTATTTAGATCAGTGGTGCTGCCGTATCCGTGTGCCTTCACGTATGAGAAATAAGCACGCATTGATGACATGAAACTCTTTTTCATTCCCCACTTAATTTTATTCATTTTGGCGTTCAGTTTTCTAGAGACGGTGTATCTAGTCGGACCAGGTTAATGTTTGTCACAACAGTACGTATAGTTCTTACGTGTATCCTCTGTACCCCAAAACGTCATAGCATAGCTCAATCTGTTTCACAGAGAATTACGAGTCTAGTAGTAATATCTCTGTCAAAGATGACTGCCTTAACACGTGCCGTCACAGCACGGGGCGTCAATCATTGGCTGAATGGCGCGTGCATTGCATACATAACACATTACTGCTTCGGGCGGAATGCTGCCTTTTAGAATTTAATTTGTCGCAGGGAAAAAGTTAATATCTCTGGCTCATTAAGTCGCATCGATGTCATCCTTATCAGTGATTGTAGCGGCCTAGCGAAAATTCACTTCTGATCAGTGTGAGCATAGCTGTACCTTTTGGTAATACCCAATCGATGTTAATCACCGCAAAATAGCATATAAATAAAAAGGTAAAACTTTGCTAAATCAAAAAAAATTCAGAACTAAAAATTAGGGCAGAGTTCTAATATTCCATTTATGGAAAGTTTTAGGGGCTTTGTGTTGACATTTTTAAAACAATGATTTCCACAAGATATTAAGCTTGGAAACAGACATTCTCGTTACTTGACGATGCATAATATGAATCAACCTACCATAGCAACCGCGTCTGATAAAACCAGTTCTTCTTTAGACATAACAGCAAAATATCCCACATTAACCAGTATATAACACATTGTTGTTAGAGGTATTCCAAATAATATAGCTAATGGCAGGTTTCTGTAGGAGGTAAACATATTTTTTTTTGTTAGAGGTATTCTAATAATACAGCTGATGAGAGGTTTCTGTGGAGTAACACACACTTATTATGAATACAAAACAACAATGGTTAAATGTCAAAATTGGTAAGTGGTACGTATACGGTCTCCTAGAAAGAGTAAATTTCTAAAACAAACTCCTTCCGAAATCCCTTATACCACTTGGCGTGTGAACCAATGTCGCAGCACGACTGCGTTGTCGGGTGCTAGAAAGCTTACGGTCAGTATGGTGGTTTCAATCCTGCTGGTACGTGACAAGGGGTAGGGTTGCATTTCTACGTAGTTTTTATCTAGGTTATCTGCCACTATTAGAGACGTCCATGGGGAGCAGGGTCCGATTAGAGAGGTGTGGAGGGCCTGACTGGGCTGCAGCCAGGGCCCCCAAAATTAAAGGGGCGTCCAGATTAATTCTAAAAGTTGTCTATATAAAGCATATTTGTAATGTTATGCTTGTATTTATTATGTTGCATATGTTTTGCCAAAAAATCAAATAAATCTATCTACCATACATGTACAAATGTACAAACATACAAATTGCATTTGTGTGAGTGTGCAGAACAATGACCAGGATATACCCCCTTTTAACTGTTGATGCAAGGGCCCCTGAAAAATTTTCAGCCAAGGGGCACTTAATACGACCCTGAAGGAGAGTCATACTTTTTAAATGATTATATATACATTGGTCGAGAAATAACCCTTGTTACGTGACCGTTAGACCTACCTGTTTGGATTTTTAATCTCTTCGGTTATAAAATTCAGATTGTTCCTGAAATAAGATTAACATTTACAGCAGAAAGGGTAAGTTAAATCTATTTGTCTCTGAACTCATCAGGTTGGTTACCCTTGCATTATTCACATAAACAAAATACTGATTTTTTGTGAATGAAATAAAATGGAGTTTAATGTCCTATTTTTCTGCATCAATGGGCTAATGAAGACGATTTGTATTTTGTATTTTTGTATAACTAAACTGTTATGCCAAACTTACGATATACAGTTTTCTACGGGTGAAACTTTTGCAATTGAATTCCAACTGTCAATAATTTTTTTACGTGTACGACAACGTGTACCGAAGGACTGACACTATCCTTGCCAGGCCCTATGCTCTGTATCACTGACTAGGAGAAACCACGCTGGAAATCCGTGGGAACTTTCTCGATCACCGAGATCGTACCCCAGCAATCTGGTTAAAACTCAGATCCTATTTCGTTTCGTTTTTATAGTCAAAATTTCGTTTTACTTGTCCTTACTTCATGTAGTGTAGGCCATCGAACGTATAAAAAAACGAAACGAAATATAGATCTGTATTTTAATCAGATTGGTACCCCAGCGCCTTGCTCACTGTGCTGCCGTCGGCTCCCATTATTCACAACACATTCAACACGGTGAAAATGTGTGACAATGTATTTTGAATCATCTATTACAGAACTGCATCAACTGTGGGTCGTAGATAACGTATAGCACGCAGAGAACCACGTAGAATTTCAACGTCAACTTTTCGGCTACTGGTACAACAAATTGAGATGTCTTACCATCCTTCATATGCCCACAGGCAATTATAAAAAGCCAGAGCGATGGTTGTCGGGTCTTTTGATGTTCCTTCAAATCCTTCTGCTATATATGTGGTACCATCTGAATGTTTAACAAACGTCAATTAATTTTAATATTACTAAAATCCTCTTCTTTATATTTATATATCCAGGTTCTACAAAATACCCCTTCAAGAACATCTGATGTCACTTCTCTTTTGTTTTGAAAGATTCAAATGGCGTCCACTTTTTATATTGGAATTTTGCATTATAAACTGTTTGTAGGTGATGTGTTGATGAAATATAATTTAGCTGTACTCGACACCACGACCAACGCAGACCCAATTATTTAAGACTTAATGTGTGGTGTCAGATTTGAAATTGTCCCGTCATATATTTTGAAAGCGGCTATTATCGCATGGGGCCTGAAAGTGGCATTTTAGATTTGAAAATTGCTCTTCAGAATTACAAGTTGTACTTCAGATTTGAAAGCGGAAAATCTGATCTGAAAGCGGCAGATCAGATTTGAAAGCAATGTTACAGATTTGAAAGTGCCGCTCCAAACTTGTAAGTCTTCCTCTAAATTTAAAAGTGCCGCTCGAACGTTTCCACTATGAAAGTGATGTTTTCGATTTTAATGGCGTCTCTTCATAATAATAATATACTATAAATACCTGTAATCATGACGTAGAAGCCGCCAATAGTTATAATAGCCACTGCTATAAGTTTAACTAATGTTAACCAGTTCTGTATAATGGTCGTTAATTTCACACTATGACAATTAACAGCCGCAATCAGTACTGCAAAATATAATTGTTGAATCAATGAATGAATTCTGGACAATTCTGCATATAAAAATGAAATTTGGAATTGAAATTCGAACTTCAAGAATTCGTATATCTTTAAAGGAAACTATTAACCATAAATAATATTAACCCATGTAGGAAAGAGTTTAAAAATCCCAAATCTCATTAAGTATTTTGACATGCGCTGTTAGATCACAGGCGGCTGGATATTTTGCATTTAGTTGAATTTATGTAGATGAGATGTGTTACTTGGATTAACTCTGTGCGGATAATATTTGTATTTCATTGGGTGGAAGGTGGTTTGGCTAAAGATACATTATGTAAGAGATAAATCTGCCTACTGCAGGTATTTTTTGGGGTCTCATATGTTATATAAATTATTAATTAGACATTTATTCACACGACAAGCCCATAATGAACTCTCTAGGCCATCGGATGGTCGTGATATTTAATGGATTGAAACACGATCGAAGCAGCACCGTAAGGACGCCACCCTGGTCCGAAGGGGGCATAACAGAAGGGGCGACCAACTTAGCTTTGGTTATAAAAACTTATTAAGGACTGGAACAGAAACTCATTTTTGGCGTATAAAAAGAGAGATAGAAATGGGGTTCGCTCGAAACAAACTAGGTCAATTCGGGACTAACATGGTCCAGTTTTATTTCAACAATTCGCTTGTGCCTAGGGGTCTTAATTAGCTGTGGGAGGTAACTGGGGGACCCGGAGAAAACCCACTAGGTTGGACAGCCGACCCTACTTCTTACCACGTGCAAGCTTGACTCAATGACAAACATTATTATGATCTAAAGCGCGCCAGTTAAACTATTCGGCTACCTAATGCCCCTTTGACGCATAAAGGTGATGTTATACAAACTTACTCATGACTGGAACAGCAACTAATTTTTTAACGTATAAAGGTGCTTCACAATCTCCATAGAAAGGTTGGGTCGCATACGTGGCTAAACTAAGACACATTATGGCAAACATGGTCGGTCGTAGTATTATTACTCCAATCCAATCATATAAAAACGCGGGAACTGGACCCCAGCATCTACTGAAAGGCTTAAAAGTAAACATGAGGTAGGCATGTTCTCCACCAGATTGTGGTATAGCAGATCCTAACTCAGCATACGATAAGGCGCCTGAAATATAAACACATAATAGAACATGAATAAACGTAAATGAAATGGGGTTTAACGTCCTACTGTCCAGCACCGACTTGGCTAATGAAGACAGACATCATGGTCTGCGACACTACGACCTACCCTTATTATGAATTCCAACTCTCAAGGGGTTGTTTACGTGCACGCCAATGTGTACACAGGACCTCGGGGTTTTGTCCCATCCAAACGACTACATGTTGTCTCTTGTCAGGTCCACCGAGGTTCCCACATAAATAAACAAGTTCGATTCCGTCTAGAACAACACCGTGCCTTCCAGTCTGCACATAAAAAGAAAGGGAAGCGGCGATTTGATACTGTAAAGCATGTATATGTAGGTGAACATAGGCGTACGAGTGGACGTTACACATACAAGGGGTGTCATTGTTTGCAAACTTGTGACATATCAACAAATTGATGATGATGATGATGACCTGAATAGAGATAACTCACAAACCGAACAAAGATAGTATTCCACACAGTAACCAGAGTAGAAGGCTCATAGCTACTGATCCAGCTCCATACAGAACACCTTTAGGTGAAACAAATACACCAGAACCTGAAATAATAAATAAATACGGTCTAGTTCTAAAATGGCTAGAAATATGGCACATTTTAACACCTTTACCTTTTAAATACAGATAACGTATGTTGCACATCACAGGGAGCCACGGTGGCTAGGTGGTTAAGACGCTGGCTCGCTAGCCTGGAGGTCGGGTGTTCGATCCCTGCATTGGCCGAGAGAGAGAGAGAGAAATGGGGTTTAACGTCCACTCAACACAAACTAGGTCATTTCGGGACTAACATATGTTTTTTTAATTTTATTTCAATAATTCGCTTGCGCGTAGGGGTCTTTAGCAGTGGGAGGAAACCGGACGACCCGGAGAAAACCCACGAGGTTGGACAGGCGACCCTACTCCTTGTCACGTACAACTGGGGATTCGAAACCACGCCAGTCGACTCAATGACAGACTTTATGATACAGCGCGCGCACGCTAACCATTCAGCCATCCAACCCCCCGTGCATTGGCCGAGAAAGTTCATCCCGATTTTCCGACGTGGTTTCCCCTTGTCAGTGGTGCAGAACGGAGGGCCTGACAAGGACAGCTGTCTAGTCCTTCGGATGAAACGAAAAACCGAGGTCCCGTGTATACATTGGAATGCACGTAAAAGACCCCTTCGCAGTTGGAATTCGATATAAGAGTAGGCGGTAGTGCTGCTGCCCGGGCAAAATTCCCCTCATAGCACACTGTATGGCGTATGTCCGTCTTCATTAGCCCAGTATAGGAGCAGAACAGTAGGACGTTAAACCCCATTTCATTTCATTGCACAACACAGTCGGCTACCGCAGTCAAGAGCGATCACGTGGTAATGTCGTGTGGTTTCGAACCCATTATGCATGTACGTGACAAAGAGTAGAGTCGTCTGCCTAACCCCGTCGGTTTTCTTCAGTTTTCTCCCCAACACGGAAGCTCAATATTGAAATGTATCATAAGTGAGTCATGAAAAATCCTAGTTTGTGTTGAGTGGATGTTAAACTCCATCTTCGCTATTTTCTTGATATGCTGGAGGTACCGGGTTTCGGCCCTGGTTGGTCAAGAAAGTTCATTGGGATTTTCAGGACTGGTCTCCCCATGCTGCTGCTGTGCAGGACAGGGGGTCTGGCAAGGAACACGATCTGGTTGTTAGTATAGTACTAAAAATAAATTCTCTAGTATATTACATTACATGGCTATGATGGTGTGTGCCTGCCTTCATTATCCCTTCCGGTTGTTACAGAGAAATAGAATGTTAAACCCCATTTCATTTCTTACCTATCATAGTTCCAACTATAAGAGCAATAGCACTAATGAGGCCAATATCCTTCTTTAATATTACCCCATTTTGACCTCCACCTGAAATATTAATAACAAAAAACCATATCACAAGCATGTAAACAGTAAATTGTAAATTCCCAATATTTTACACGGGCTGCGATGTATGCCTTCGTAATTGGGAGACGATGATGGCATCATGTATTGTCAACTGTCAAATCTCTTTAACAATGACCTGTCAAATCTCTTCCAACAAAAATTCCTGGATCCGCCCCTGCACCACTGACAAGTGGCATGCACGCTGGAAAATATAAATCAACTTACTCGCTGAGCCACTGCGTCTACAATATTTTAAAGTGGTCGGGTTCGAGTAATCAGTACATCAGGTTAAATGGCCGAAAACTTATCAAAGCAACAAACAATCCCCCAAACCTGTTCCAGGGATTGCCATAGATTTGGCCGCGTACTTGACGGGTGAACGGACCACTGACAACTCGAGCCAGGCGGTCACATAAATCCCTGCTCTTCTATCAATTCCACTGATCAATATTTGAACATGGGGTGAAAATCATTAGTTGGTATATTCGGTTAAATCGGTGCCGGGGGACAGTCCGACAAAGTTTACATATCCAACAAATCAACTTGAAAACGATAAGAAATATAATTACGTCATTTTATCTACAAGGTGTGACGTAAATTACCCATACGTATAATTGACTGAATCAGTACTGATTAACAGCATAGATAATTAGTCACACGATTATTTTCAGCGTAATTTATGGATCTCAAACGAACCGTGACATATAATTGCGCGGTGTGTGATATTATTTGTCATAGGTCAGTGACACATGAAGCGGGAGTAGATTTGGTGGGGGTAGGGGGCACATTTCAAACTGAGATATTAAATTGAAATCATCAAACTGTGCCTGTGAAATGAAATGGGGTTTAACGTCCTACTGTTCTGCTCCGAACTCGGCTAATGAAGACGGCGCGAGAAATGTAGTTCGGGAACTTCCAGTGCGCCAAGCGGGTCATAAAAGCGGTACGGTTGGAGTTCTTGAAGCGATTGGTTTTTGGACCATTTCAGTGCTTAAAATTGGATCCATTACGCAAGCTTTTCAGCCATAAGAAATGAATTGCCAACCCACAAAGCAGATTCGGGTGTTTTTCGGGCGTTTTTCATTAAGACCCTTTTTGACATCGAAGATACAATTCGGGTGTTTTTCGGGGGGTTTTCAATTAGACCCTTTTTGCCACTGAAGATACAAGACGGTACATTTGATACTGTACTACATACGAGCGTACATTACATATTTTACTAAAAAAATTAACGATACTTTCTGCTAATTAGAAATGTCCTGATGTAAAAAAAAAAAAAAGATTGTGTCTGTATTGGATAGAAACCACACCACTTGACTCAATGACAGTCTCGTGATCTAATGAACGGGATACAAGGACGCGAGATGTTGATGAGTGGGTCATCTTGTTTCCTCTCCTTTTAAATCTGGTATCATGCGGTAGCTGTCAAATGTTGTACTTCACGTTTCTTGCAATTATTGATTTAGAATATTTGACATTGGCACAGACTTTAAGATGTCGCCAATATCATTCCAAAATAATTCAGAAACACTGTTCGGTTACATCCCCCAATATCTCATTAAATAGCTGATTGGTTAATTATGCTCAATGACGCAAAGAATTGGCCAATTAATATGGATTATGTAGCCTACAACGAGAGCAAGAGAGAGAGAGAGAGAGAGAGAGAGAGAGAGAGAGAGTTTAACGCCCACTCGACGTTAGAAAGAGGAGATAGAGGGGGCTAGGGGAGGGAGTAACTTCCATTTGACCCACACTAGGTCATTTCGGGACTAACATATGATTCAATTATATTTCAATAATTCGCTTGCGCGTAGGGGTTTTTAGCAGTGGAAGGAAACTGGAGGACCCGGAGAAAACCCACGAGGTTGGGCAGGCGACCCTACTCATTGTAACGACAGACCTTATGATACAGCACGCACGCGCGCGCTAACCATTCGACCTTGATTCTAAATAGCATTTAATTTATGTTATCTGTTGGTAGCAGACACAATGCACAACATCCTATTTTATTCATAATTTAACAACAAATTAATTCCGTTTTAAATAAACAGATTTTTAAACCAGGCTGTTACAATATTCATATAGCATAATTTAATAAATCCCTGATTATATTACAGATGTAGATAATAATGGCTCGTTGGAAATAACAACTATCTCAATTTGTTGAATGGCCAATAGGTTAACGAGGGAAATCTTCACGTAATATAACAGTAAAAAGGAACAGTATTACGTGAGTGTAATATTCACGCACCTGTGTATTCGCGTTATTATATAATAGCCAAATGAACGATATTACGTGAGGGTAATATTCATGTAATTTAACCGTAAAAAGGAAGAATAACACGTGTATCTACAAATTAACGGTTGTTAAATAATAAGTAATGAATTGGGACTGAATAGGTTCATCTGGTAATTCGACAGATCAATGAAATTTGAATTCGTTTTCAAAATTTGACCGTAATCTCAAATTTAGATACTCTCTTCAGATGCCCGTATGGTTAGGTCTATTTGATAAGGCCAACTTCAAGTTTGGTCAAGGGTCACGAGATGTAAACAGGGCTAGTGCTAATCCCAACCCTAACCCTAACCCAAGATCTAGCCCCAATGCTTACCCTAACCCTAACCTACAATCTCGCCAACAATCACAACCTTCTTTACATCTCAGCGACCGTGACGAAAATTAAGCTGGCCTAACAAAATAAATTTAGCAATGCCGGTCTTTATTATCCCGCGGGGCTGGTGAGGTTAAGGGCAAATCCTCTGAAATATCATTTCATAATAACAGCAGGGTTAAGATTTGTAATAATATTACATTCGCATATATATTTGGTGATATATAAGCCTTTGGACATTGAGTGGGCCGATATATTTTTAGTACTTTGTGTCTATATTGTTGTTTATTCGGATTATTCTAACAAATTTCACCTGGTATAAAAACTATCATAACCCTAACAAAATAGGGACTTTCTTCGCCTTCCTTTCCCCCGTAGTCGACCAATCCTGTTATTGATATTGAATAAACAATAACAGCTGTTTTGATTATCAGTAATCACTCATCCAGCAAGTACTTACATATCACAGATCAATAACCTATGAATATTGATTACCGCGGTAAGCTACCTTGTCGCTAGCTAATTGTAATTGATAATTAATAATTTAAAACAACACTTCGGCCACGTCTATAATAACCTTGTTGTGGTTTCTGTCGAGCTTCGTTAAAGGAGCTAAATCGCTAAAATTTGGGACCTAGAAATTGACAAAAATGGGTCGTAACGCATATAATAAATGTAATATGAATGTATATAACTGATTTACATTCAATCGTTTCTGTTTTTACTGTAATTTCTAATCAGTTATGTTCCGCGAAATACGAAAGAAGTCTCATGTGAATGGCAATCTTTAGCGTCTGGTTTTTCCAGTCTACACCGATGGTATTTATTGCGCATGCTCTCCAGATAAGAATATAGCGTCGTCATTTGACATGACTTGTGGACTATGTCTATCCCTGTTCTTTGAGTCCCTTGTTCCAAATGGCGCTGAAATGCATTATGGTACACGATTCGTATAATATTGGTAAAATGTTTATTTTGTCTTGAATATTGGATATCAGAAGCCCATCTTTTCCCTGTAAGATCACAAGACCAACGTTGATTTGAATTGACAAATAATTCGTGTTTTCAATGTCGAAGATTTTTGATGATATTGAGTTAGAGGCTTAGTTACTTTAAAGGAGCTAAATCGCTAATATTTTGGGCCTAGAAATTGGCACAAATGGGTCGCAACACATATAATAATGTAATATGAATTTATATAAACTGTTTTACATTCAATCGTTTCCGTTTTACTGTGAATTGTCATTAGTTATGTTTGGCGAAATACGCCAGAAGTCTCAACCGAAAGACAGTTTTTATAGTATGGTTATTCCAGTCAACACCGATAGTATATATTGCGCATGCTCTCCAAATAAGAATATGGCATCACCGTTTGACATGACTTGTGGAATATGTCTAGCCTCATTCTTTGAGCACCTTGTTACAAATGGCGCTGAAACGCATTATGGTACACGATTCGTGTACCAATGGTAAAATGTGTATTTTGTCTCAAATATTGGATATCAGAAGCCCATCTTTTCCAGGTAAGACCACAACACCAATGCTGATTTAAATTGCAAAAAAAATCGTGTTTTCAATGTCGAAGATTTTGGATGATATTGAGTTACGGACTTAGCTACTTTAAGTTACAGTCATGTAAAAAGAGAGGAAAAAGCGAACGCAGGCAGCGTTTAGATGCACGCAGTGTTAGCGCCACAGGTGATCATTGTTTGTATTCTAATCTGAAATTGACGACGAAAAAAAAAACAAACAAAAAAAACCCCGCTCTTGTGGATGGTTGATAATATTATGACCGTTTTTGTAGAAATTTTCAATTGCCCATATTTTTTTTTTTTTTTTATGAAATAATATACAGTTTGGATATACAGTATGTGTAGAATGTGCATAATTATATAACATATCTTTCCTTGTCGGCCACTTTTCGCAGTACTTTGGGCGCCACTGGTGATAAAAAGACAATCTTTTTCATAGAGATCACAGAGATCTTCTAATATCTCTGTAACAGATGACTGTTTCGACACGTGACGTCACATCACGCGGCGTCAATCATTGGCTCAATAGCCCGTGCATTGTTTACATAAGATGTTACTGATTCGGGCTAAATGGTGAATTTTAATTAATTTAATACCCATTTACACTAAATAGGAAATGATTTTTACCTACAAATAATTCAAACGTCTTTATTTATTTTTCTAATAAATAAAAAAAATGTTTTAGAATTTAATTTGACGGAAGAAAAAAGTTAATATTTGGGACTCATTAAGTCGCATCGATGTCATCCTTATCAGTGATTGGAGAGGCCTAGCGAAAATTCACTGCTGATCAGAAAGACCGTCTTTGTCGAAATTTAAGTCAGCCATCAATTATTTA